GATCAACAGCGGATACCGCACCGTGACGTCAGAAGCCAGTAGGTGGCAGTAGTGTTCTTTGACAAACGTGGATGCCTCCAGTAAAGCACATTCAAATGAAAATTACTCTTAAAAACACATCATTTATTGAACAGTATGTAATAATTTTATATTTAAAGTACTTTGAGTAGTTTGAATTCTGAATATGACCGGACTTTTCATTTAATCCAGGCTTAAAAGGTCGTTAGAGTCAGGCAGTGCTAGTATGCACCATCAGAACAGACTAATGCTTTTTGCAGCATTCTGGGGTTCTTTAAAGGAGCAGCAGGACTTCATGTTTATCCTTTTACCAGAGCTGCCATTAAAATCCAATCCTGACTATTTCTGTACTGTGCAAAAATATTTTAAGCACTGAAGATTTAGTGCACAAAAGTTTGTCCGGAATATTTTCTCAAAGTATATTAATCTAAATTAAATTTTGCATCTTCTACTAGCTTGAACTCTGGAATCTTTGACCTTTGAACAAACCAATAAAATATATATATATATATATATATATATATATATATATATATATATATATATATATAAAAACTTGAAACTTACAGCTGCACTGCTATAGAAGAGGATTAGGGCCACTGAAAAAAAAAAGTTATTCTAAATTAGATTTTGCATCTTCTACTAGCTTGAACTCTGGAATCTTTGACCTTTGAACAAACCAATTAAAAAAAATAAAAAAAATAAAAAAAAAATAATAAATATATATATATATATATATATATATATATATATATATATATAAAAAACTTGAAACTTACAGCTGCACTGCTATAGAAGAGGATTAGGGCCACTGAAAAAAAAGTTAACTGATTTTTAAATTTTTTTTAAAAGTCAGAATTCTGGGAAAAAAGTCAGAATTCTGAGAAAAAAGTCAGAATTCTGACTTTTTTCCCATACTAAGCTGAAATAAAATTAAAAAATCAGTTAGCTTTTATTTATTTTTTTTTCAGTGGCCCTAATCCTCTTCCGTAGCACTGCTGAAAATTCCTTTTTCACTAATTAATACTACAGAAAAACAAAACAAAACTGGTTTTTAAACTTGCCTTGAAATTTTGCTCCAACGCGTTTGCAGCGGCCCCTGCTGGAGCATCAGTGCCATGACGTTTGGAGGGAAAATGAAGCAAACCAGAACCAAGGGAAGCGAGTGACACCATGAATGGCAATAAGCTTTTTATTTAAACATTAAGGCAGTGTCTTTTTTTGTGTGTTTTTCGTTTTTACACTGCTATCCACAAAGCTTGCTGGTGGGCATGTAGAATTTAACCATGTGTATATTTCTTTTCATAATACCACCCTTGAAGCAAGCAACATAAATATTTACATCTCTTCAATTGTATATACAATCCTTGATATTATACAGTGGGTTATAATAAAAAAAAAGAAATATGCACAAAACGGCTGGACAATGTAATGTTTGTCAATTATCTTCCCCTCCCGTGATTGGACAGTTCAGGGAACGCATCAGTGTTTGACGCGTCCTTTTAGGTTTTAATGATTAATTCTATTTTTGAGAAAATAAATGTGCAACAAAAGAATAAACAATATGAATGAATGCATGTTAAAAAGTATTTTCAGTGTACTTTTAGAAACAACTTAGAAATCTTTTTTAGAGAACAGCTGGGTGCGCCTTCGCCCGTTTCAACGTGTCGGCGGCGGCACCGATTCACGCAGAGGGGCCTTCCTGTTTCTTCCTCTGCTGGTCTGACTGGGAGAAGCTAAAGCAGGCGAGGCGTGCTGGACGCTTCGCCGCCGACAGCGAGGACGGGAGAGGAGGTAGTCCTATAACAGTCGGGTCTGCGCTGTGATGAGACGAGGCGAAGACGCAGGGGAAGTCTTCCCGGACGCTTCGCATGAGGTTGCACAGAAATACTGCATGAAAATGTGAGTCACATTAAGCAGAACGCCATCCTCTCGGCTTCCTCTGACCCGTACAGAGAAAGGAGGTGCAATGAAGTACACTTAAAGTAGTTTATGCTGCATGTTTTAAAGTATAAAAAAACTAGTGGAGGTCCATGGAAGCAGTGCAGAATAAGTAAAAACAATTAAAAGCTAAGGCAGTGACAGATTTGGAGAAATGGGGGAAAAATATTCAAAAGAAAGCAGGATGTTTGATTTTTAATTCTCCATGTAGACATTATGAACCCTTAAAAAGCAGTCGGGGGTTAAAGTAAAGAAAAAAAAAACAAAATTGTGCGTCAATTAACTTCAGCTCTATAATTTTTTAAAATAAATGGCACTTAACACTAAGAATATCTCTTAACTGTACAAAATCTGCCGAGATGAGGAGATGAATCCAGGCACCTCCATGGGGCAGTAAAAGCTCCTGGATGGGACTCCAGCAGTTCAGATCAGAGCCGAGGGAGGGGGGGGTGGTGGCGTCATAGAAAGATGGCTTTTTTTTTTCTTTAAATCACCTCCTTAATGCAAGAGGGATCCAAACCTGCAGCTTTAAAGGTGGATCTGCAACCAGCAGCTTAGGGTTTCCACTGCGACGTGATTGTCGCTGCGAGTGGGACAGCGTTAACAGGAAGCGGCACTCCTGCCTATTCCCAGAAATGCCACCATGATCAGCTCGACAACTAAGTGCTTTATATGCAAAGAACTGTTCCAACAAACACAGACATGGTTAATATTAAAAAAGAAAGTGTCTCTTCCTCAGTGCCGTCTGGCAGATCCTCTCAGGCTCCATCAGATTCTCCACCAGCACCAAACCGCTCCGTTACCCTGTAAACCTCTGATATGATCCCACCCCTGCCTCTCCATCCCATCCTCTTACATCTTTGCAGATAACAGACAAAAAAATGACACCATCAAAAGTTTCACCACCAAAATGTACTAAAAGTTGCAGCTCACAAAAAAAAAAAAAAAAAACAACAGAACAAAACAAAAAACACAGGACTGGACTGAGAGTTCCAGAGAGACAAATCAAAGAACAAAAACCAAGAAAAACCAGAGATGCTGATTCTTCTTCTGTGTTCTTGTAGTGGTAAGCGGCCCACCGGCACACGGAGTTCACTGCTGAACATGAACGTGAGGTGTGAGCAGATAACAGCGAACACGCCAAACGCACGGCTCGATGCGCCCGTACTGATAAGGCCAGTGAGGAATAGTAGTAAAGTAAAAAAAAAAACTACAGAAAACGAGTGATTTGTCCTTCAGCGTAGTCCTGGAGTGAATGCATAACATGTAGGTGGGGAGAGACAGAGCCACACAGTTCCCCTTTTTACAATCCTCATCATCCACGAAGGGAGGAGGGGGGCTTTATTTATGGCCGACAGAGGGAGGGGGGGAGGCAGAGCTGCGGATTCGCTCGGCTGTCCTCTCCATGTGTGGAGCTGCAGGTGCTTTGCCGCAGTCTTTCTGGTCACTCGCTGTCAGACAGGGTTTCATACTGAGATGAAAGCAGAGGCTTAGGCTCCTCCTCCCAGGAGCGGCCCTGTCCGGGACCCGGGCCGCCCTGCTGGCCGGAGGAAGGGGAATGGGCTGAGACTGTCCCGCTGGGGAGACGCATGATCAGCGGGCTGCAGGGATAGGTCGAACCTGCAGGAGAAGGAGAAGGGGTGGATTTTTAAAAAGACTGATGATGAAATGTAAATAATTAATGTAGGTTGTCAAGCATCAGCTGTAAAATCAGGACAAAGTTTACATTTTTAAACAACTATAGATACTAAAACTGGTATCTATATAGTCTGTATTCCCTAAAGACTATAGACCCTCACTGCGTCCATCCTGTTATATGGAGGAAAAGAGTTTAAAAAAAGGCGAAAACGAGCTACACTGCTGCGCTCCATTCAGCCTTCATGTTATCAGCTTAAAGTGCTGCTCTCTCTCACTCTCATATGCCTGAACATGTTTAAAAGGAGAATTAATAAAGGTGAAGAAACCTGCTTAAACAGTTACTAACCTAAACATTTAAACAGAAAATGACCATTAAAACTGCAGTGATGACCACAAAATGTGGCTGACGGCATCTACCCATGATGCTGAGAGCTGGAATATTTGTGAGACATTTGAACTAATCAGCAGCCATGAATTAGAGAGTAATCATGATGCTAGATGTTTATGTGATGCCGTCATTAATGTGAGCTAGCAACTGCTAACGTGGCGCTTTCTGATTTAAACAGAACTTCAAAGCCATTATGTTTTATCTGCGTATTCATTAGTGATCAGTCTGTGTCGGGGGGGGGGGCTCCACCTGCAGATAGGGGCCGGTCCTCCCACATCCGGTTGGTAAGAGGGGTCCGTCGGTTGCAGTCTCCCTCGGAGTGAACTGACGACACCGACGAAGGCCTCTCGCTGCCGGATAGACCCGGTCCTGGGGACTTGGACTTGCGTCCATTAGAGCGGCCGCCGCTCTTAGAGGACTTTGAGCCGCCTGAAAACACAGGAGCAGAGAAGCTGATGAAAAAAGAAATAAAAAACCCCGACAAGCTGGAGTCAAAACATTTGAAATCTCTATGTGTGGAAAAATATTTAAGGCATAAGAAAAACAGCTGATTTGTGGAAACTTACATAATTTTATCTGTTATCTAAAAAAATAAAATAAAAATCTAGTTTGATGATTATGATTTCAATTACATGAAAACCAGATAAACTCAGATTCCGTATCTGCTTTTCCCTGAAGGCTGTAAAAAGAAAAACGTCTTCCTGCTAATAAACCTGGTCTCTTCAGTGCAGCCTAAAGGGTTGGTTATACTCCCGCAGCGATCTTCACAGGTATAATGCAGATATTTTTGATTTATGCTAAATTTTGAAGCGTGGTCTGCGCTACCTCATTCCACGCCACAACGCAAGAGGGACAATCACGAACTAGCTAGTAACGTGGGTGTCCGTGTGTCAGTTTGACGAGCTCGTTCGCCGTCTACAACCCCCTCATCCGTCTGGGATAGAGGTGCGCCGGGCCAGAGTTTCTGCCATTAGGTACACCAAACAGGAAATAGGCATATAGAGCGGATGTAGAATTGACCAATCAAAGTCCTCCTTCCACTCCTCCCACACAATAGGCTCATATATGCTGGATTAATCCTGGTTTAATTCTTATTGAACACTAAAAAACGAAACACCACAAAATAATAAAAAACAAGCTCCGTTTCGGGTGCACTCAGCTGAGTGGCATCATTATTGTTAATAACTGTGTATAGTTCATTAGACGGTTTGTAAAAAATACACTCATATAATGTTTCAAACTGCAATAAAGATCTTAAAAGAATGATGTATTTGAGTATTTTATTTTCACACTAAGACTTGGAATTATGGGTAATCCAGAGCGTAGATTAAAACCTTAACCGTTAAGTACAATGTGTTAGTACCAAAAAGAGATTGTTAAGCGGATTCCAGAAAAGAAAAAGGAAAAAAGAGCTGCTGGAAGAACGGGAAAAAAAATTCCCAGAAGAACCGAAGATGGAGAGCTGGACGTTGCTGTTACAGTGAGTAAAGATTGCGACTAAGAGATGAATGGAGAGAGCTCAAAATAGCCCCATGGCCTGTTGTGCTAACATGTGGTGGTGCGCTGTCATCAATGGTTCCATTCAAGGTGCACAGTCACTATATTTCCTGTTTGTGATGTATATACTACTGAGAATTGCATAATCTTCTTGGCCGATTTATGGAACTGTTGCCGTATCCTGAACCTTTATCACGTGTTCTACTTCATATGGGGCCAGATAATGATGCTTACGGGCCTATTGTGTCGTTACGCCATTGTCTTCCTTCCACTCAATTTCTCAACAAAATAATTTGTCAACTTTAGCGTTTGTCTCATCTTTCAAGCTGCAAGATATAACAATAAATAATAATACAGGGTTTATACAGGAATGAATAACTCTAATTTAATACTTTTTAATGTTCTTAGAAATAATTTTAATGTCATCAACAAGTAACCATGACTCTCGTATATATAAGGGAAAATCCTTCGTCATCTTTACCGACAACAGGCTGCAGCCATGTCCTAAATTTCTGCATTGCATTTTCCACATTCTCTAGCGTTTTCTCAGATTTGAGCTTCTTTTCCGAACACATGGCTTTACGATCAACCGGAAACAGCTACACACAAATATATCGCGATATAATATATCTGATGAAACTCTTTTTATATAATTTTTTTTTTAAATGCCATAATGATCACATTTAACAAATTTTAATACCAATTCAGGCCTTAATTTAAAAATGAATAATTTAATGATTTTTAATGACGTGTGGAAACCCTGTAATAAAGCTAAAATAATCCCTTTGTCTAAAACGAATCTTAAATTGTTAACTTCTTTAACCGAATTACTGGAAAAAGTTGTATATGTTTTTGGAATAGAATTCCAATTTTAAGGAATGAATTCGCAAATTTAAGGACAGTGAGGATTGGGTGAAGTTCTGATTTAGGAGAACAAATTACTAAAGAGATTCTATGAAGCAGTGAACATAAGCAGATTAAGGCGGTGGAGGATTGTCACCTTGTGAGAATGAGTCTTCTCGTCCGTCGGTGGAACCTGCTGGGTTAGCGGCGCTGGACGGGGAGCGCTCCTCAGACGACTCGTCGTACTTCCCCATTAAGGCCTTTCTGATTATGGCCTCCAGACCTATGGAGTTACCGGATGCCTCTGGAGCCGGGTGGCTGCGCACGCTCACAGGTCCTTTAAGGTGAAAGAAAAAAAAAAAATCCGGTATGTTAATTCAGAACAGAGTCTGCAGCGTTTGAAAAATCTTCCTCACATATTCAGTGCAGTCTTCTTACTGAACAGCTTACCTGCAGTGGTGGATGCTGGCATGTTGAAGATCTCCGTTCCTGGCTGACCTGCATCTAAAATCATCAAAAGAGAAACCAGAGGTCAGCTCGGTCTGGTCTTAATTAGTCCTTCGTACGCTTGAGGCGAGGCTCACTGAATTCTGGCTCGTTTCCATCTCCCGTCCTCTTCTTGATCATCTCCTGCTTCTTGGACTTGACGATGGCCGACGTGCTCTCTGTCAGCTTGCTGAAGAAAGCCGGAGCCTGAGAGGCATTGGGAGGAGAGCGGGAGGCCAGTCTGTTGGCGGGAAAAGAAAACAGAGTCAGGTTCACAGCAAGCTAACTAATCCATGACGGTTACAAAGTTCACCAAGCTTTTTTAATTCTGTATTTTACATGTTAAGATCGGTCATCCTGTTAGCTTTAGTTTTGGCCGTTTTGCTGTAAAAAAAACAGCAGTTTTTTTTTTGTTTTGCTGGCTGCTGTTTAGAAAAGTTTTCCTCCAACCAGCAGCTTACTGGGTTACAGCCACCGAGCGCAGTGAGAGGCGACAGGACTGAGAAGCAACTCAGTCTTTGAGTTTCTTTGCATTGGAGAAAAAACTTCTCTAGACTTGAGTATAATCTAAAAAAATCCAATAATTTTTCCATTCAGTGAAGCCGACACACTAATAAAATAAACTGTTAACAGAGCTGCTCAAATGTATTATGATTGCAACTGTAAATATTTGGAAGCTATGCTGTTTAATGCATCTTAAACCAGTTAATAATGCAAAGACAGAGATACAAAGTCACTAAGAAACTTTCACTGATTTCATTCTGTTCTGAAACTAGAAAATTATGGATCTCGACCAGGCCGGACCGGAGCGGAGCAAAAAATAGCGTGGCTCCGTATTTTGATGGTGACAGACGGAGAAGACGTACGTGGACGGTGACGTGTGGAGGAGTTGCGGTGGATGTGGAACGGCTCTCATTGATTAACATGACAGACAAATACTATGCACGACGTATGTGAGAGGGGCAGAGCGGAGCGCTGATGGAGTATGTGGAATCTGGGGGTCAGTATCCCAAGTAATAGAACTACAGAAGTCATCCTAAACAGATCTGGGCATGTTTTACCCAAAGGCATGCAGCAGGAGTTCAGAGAAGATGAGTGTGCAGAGCTGAAGCTTTTTCTGACCCAAGGCGCCTCAAAGATCTCATTCAACATCAGCGAGGTGTTTAAAGATCGTTCAGGGTGAGCAGATTTACTGCGGATGGAAACTGTGCTTTACACAAGGCCTTAAGCCTCCTCTGTGGTTCATTCTGGATGCAGAAACGACCAAAGCTTTCAGCAGTTAACCGTAAAGCTGAGAGGAGGAAAAATCAGGTCCTGAGTTTTTGTTGTAAATCTCGATGTTCAGGTCAGGACTGCTAGTTCTGTGATGTTAGTCACCTCTGTGTAATTACTGAGTCATTACAGAAGAAAGGCTTAAAAAATAACATTTCAATGTTTTGTCTTACAGCTAAAGGGAATTATGGAATCTAGAATCTGTTTGGGGGGGGGTCAACTCAGCTCAACTTGAAATCAATTCACAGAAAAACCTGCAGGGTGTAGATTTCATGTTTGTTTTGTCCGCCTTAAATATGGAATGAATTTTAGTGAATTATTGCTGCAAAATATATACTTTTTGTTTGATTTTTCCCCTTATTTTAAATTCTATTTGTCAAAAATTGTGTTTAAAGTTTTTAAATGATCAAATTCTTCTTGTTTTTTTTTTTACATTTCTGGTTTTCAGATTGAGCTTCCCCAACTGCATTTTTTTTAAATTGATTTCTACAGATCACATTCTCTTCAGGGGGTGGGCCTTCCTTCCTTTCTGTTTTTATTATTCCTCCTCTGTAGTGAGGAGAGATGATGCATTTCTATTGGTCAGCGTTGACATTGGCAACATCATTTCTATTGGTCAATGTTCATCAAGACGGGCTTTATGTAAACAGAATAAAATTTGTGAAAGACAAGTGGAAAAGAATGCCATTCTTAAAGCTCAACCAGAAAAACAGAAATTGGAAAGAAAAATTGGAAGTATAATTCTTTGAAAGATAATTTTTTTTTTAAATAAAGCTTTAAAAAAAATCTTTAAACTATATTTATTTTTAAACAGAATATGAGAAAATACGGGCGACGCGGACATCCCCTAACTACGGGAAATGTTTGGACTGCGCGTGCTCCTGTCTTTCACTGAGGACTCACCCTTGATCCCCCTGCTCCGTGGGGTAGGAAGCCCCTCCCTGGATGTCGGGCTCAGAGCTGGATCCAGGAGGAGACACCGGTTCGATGCCGTCGTTAGAAACACTGACGGGTGACGCCTTTTGCTGTGGAGGGGATCTAGAAACAACATGAAGACGTTATTATCAAATCATTAAAATAGTTTTCTTCTGTTTTAAACATCAGCGGCTGATTGCCAAGTCAGGCCCTCGTTTCCTACCTGTCTCTGTTACACTCCCCGCTGAAACCCTCTGAATAGCGGGACCCCTGAACAGACTGCTGTGAATTGGGGAGAGGCTGGGAGGCACTGGGTGGACGGCTCAGGTCCAGAAGAGAAGAGCCATGGTAGCTTTGCTGCTGTTGCTGCTGGCTCTGCCTGGTATAGTCTTTAACTATCACCTCCTGTGCATAAACACAACATTTCACTTATTCAAACGGTCCTGTCCTCCTGACAACATTGCCTTTTTCTCAGAGCATTGACTTACGCTGATGTGCTGTTCTAAGGTGACCACCCTTCGGCTGCCTTTGACACATGGGGAGGGGGGCTGTTGGCTTGGAGAGAGTCTCTCCTCTGAAGGCGGTCGATACAGACCTTGTGGTGGACCTGAGGAACAATATGCAGAGACAGAGATAGCTCAGATTCGGTCCTTTAAACAAACAATGATGCAACAGACAGGTTAGGATAGCGTCTTTGAGACGAGGAGGATCAAATATATTAAATTAAAACAAACCTGAGATTATTTCAGATCCATAAAACTATAACATGGTTCCTACAGATTTAATACAAGTTTCCAAGCTTCCCCAGAATCTTAATCCCATAGTTCTCAACTATTTTGTATGGAAACAGATGAATTGAAAACAGAGGGATGAAACAATAGATTAATAACGGCAGCAAATATAAAATACAACAAACACAACTTACTAAGACAAAGAATGAAGGTTTTAAATATATTGGGTTTTATTTGGACTGCTTTAAAGTCCATAATGTAATTATTGTTGTTTTGTAGCCACCTTAAGAGTAGCCTCTTGAGACCATCCTGATCTCAGGAGCTTTCAAGGTTTCACTCGCAGATCGTT